GGCAGGGCGGGAGCGGCGGCAGCGCCGCGCTGGGAGCCCCGGGCGCACCTGTGGAGGGACGGCGGCAGCGCAGCGGGCTCGGCGGCCCTGGTCCGGCCGTGTCGTAGCGGACGCGGCGGTGCTGCCCCAGGCACGGAGCGCGGGGCGGCCGCGCTGCTGCTGCTGCTGCTGTCAGAATCGCCCTTATCGCAGATTCAACGTGCAGGTGCTGTGGGAGTGAAGCTTTCTCCCCTCTATGCTTGCTTGAACGTATGCTAGAACTGAGGACCTGCTATGGTTTTGTTTTTTTGTTTTTTTTTTTTAATTTTATTTTGTTGGTTTTAATAAGTGCCCTGAGAAGGGATCTCATGATTCCATGCAAATATTTCCAAGGCGGGTGTCAGCGGATGGTTTCAGATTCTTTTCAGCGACAGGACAAGATGCAGTAGCCATAAACTAAAACACTAGAAGTTCCTCCTCATCGTGAGGAAGAATTTGTTTCAATGGAGGGTGGGAGAGCACTGGAACAGGTGCCCAGGGAGGTCYTGGAGTCTCCCTGYCTGGAGGTATTCCAAACCCAAACCTGTGCCACCTGCTCCAGGTGACCCTGCCTTGGCCTGGAGGTTGCACTGGGTGATCTCCAGAAATCCCTTCCAACCCGAATTATTCTGTTTTTTTAAATAAAATGGCCAAAATGTCCCTGGCTTTTGGGGCRTGCTGTGTGGGTTTTTGTTTATTTTTTTTTTAACAGTACGGAGTGATTGTTTTGGTTCTGCTCAGAGATTTGTTTTAGTAAGAAGCCTCTTGAAGAGAGCAACATAGATAAAAAATAACTGCAAAGGCTGCTGTAATTGAAAATATAATGTGGTGGATTGTGCTCGAGGAGTGTATGGGCAGGTTTTGTGCCAAAGAAACCAAAGAAGCACTTGCTTACAGAAGTCAAGTGTCTGTAGAGTAAACTCTAGATATGACTGTCTTAAGAACAGACAAAACTATTGCTAGGAGGGACTTTTCTCCACTGGTTAATGCTTCCACACCACTGTGCTTGAATAATGACTGTAAAAGCTAGTGATTGTAAACCTCTGCAGTTTTATCAGTGTTTATTTAGTGAAAGTTTGGAGYTGTGTATCTTTGTAGACTGGAGCATCACTGTGTCAGCTATAACCCAGAATTAAATAAGGCCTCTTAATCAGGCTTAAWCAGCGTGAAAATGAGCATCAAAACTCCAGATTTGCAGAGAAAAGCTGTTTGCTAATCTGAAGCTCTTCGATGCCTCTCCTCAGCTGTATGGGTAGCACCTTTTGAAATAGGGCTGTATTTTTTTTCCTGACGATCAGTTTTTATTTTTATGTATAGTCTCATTAAATTACCTATTGCATTGCCTGTACYGTGCTTATCTGTGGCCCCAGGTGACAGTGAGCATCCCCACTGTTTTTGCTGTTTAATAGTGGTTCTGGTTCAGCTGTGGGATGTCTGATCATTTTAGAGTATCTGAGTTATTGGCACTGTTGTCATTCTTCCTCACTGCTGAGCCCATACGTTAGTGACCTGTCCATAGCTTGTTTTGTGTTTGAGGTGCTGGAGGCTTTCTGTTTATTTAAAGGAATAATTAAAACTTTATTTCCTTCAAGATTGCCAGACATTATTATAATGTCACTGTTTCGCTTCAYTGAATACAGCAGTTACTCACTGTAATAGTAGGGCTCTGCTGTGYTCAGTGGATCCAGCAGCAGCTTTTATGCTGAAAAAACAGACAAGTGTTCACTGGAAGCTCCCAAATGCAAAGGTTCCTCGATCTCTGTTTGCTATTAGGGAATGACTTCAAATAGGAAGATACTCTGAATTAAAGTGTGTGAGATTTTTAAGCTACATTTTAAAATCAGAAATGCTTAAAATAAGAAAACTTTAACAAACAAATATTCTTAGAAAYGTGTTTAGGGAAGTATTCCAAACAGCTCAGTAGTGGCATGAAATTCTTGTTTAGTTCCAGCCTGGGATCTCTGGTCCCACCAGGACAAATATCTGGTGTGTGAATTGCACGTTCACTGAGTGAGTAAAGCAGTGCTTGTACTTGAGAGCCCAGTAATTGAACAAACTCGTGCACCTCTCATATCCAAGTCTTGCAGAAAATCTCATTCCAAGATTCGTTTCAGTTGACTTCCTAAAACAAGTGATACCACCCTGCTTTTCCTGGTTTCCCTGGCTGGAATAGAAAGATCAGGGCCTTTGCTGTTTGCAAGAGCTGCAGCAGCACGGTGAAAACTTGTATTTCAGGTCCTGAGACTATTGTATGAAGTGATGATTAAGCAATCAGCTCTTTCTTTGCTCCATGAGTAACGCTGTTCCTTACACCAGGCTGTTATGAAGGTCAACCCTCTCCAGTAACGAGCTCTGAGACCAAACCAGTAATGATCCAGTTAAATACTGGTTACGCTGAAGAACCTGGAACTGCCTGTATTAATCACTACACCCTGTCTCATAAAACAGTGTAACAATGTCGCATATTTTATTTATTTATATATTTATTTCAAGTGCTCTGAGAAAATAAAAAGGAATRTCAATGTGCAGCCAAAGGAAGGAAATTTTGTTAGCCCAAAGCCCTGTGCTGAGGGGGAACTGTAAAACTGTAGTTAGTGCATCTTCTGGTCAGGTGTTGCCTTCAGCAGCAGGTTGCTCTCATCCCCGTGGCTATCCTGGTAACAGCTCCTGGAGATTTATGGGCATTGTTGGATTTTATGGTTCTTTGATTCAGGTGCATTAAAATCTTGTCTTGGCAATTGAGTTTTTAACAGCTGGAGAATCGAGTTTTCTAATTACCTTTGGTCCTTGCTTAATGTTATTTGAATTAGATTTTATTCTGGAAAGCTGAACAACTTAAACTATTCCATTTTGCCTGAYAGATCTACTTCTTTACGTTTTATCTCTCAGACTTTTAGAGGTTGATTAACCTTAAAAAAAACCCCAAACAACCAAAACTGCCTCTTAATTTCTTTCTCTCCATTAACTGAGTACTTAACTATAAGACTGAAGCTGTTGATGTGATAATTTGGATCCTTTATTTTTACAAGATCATCAGTCTACAATTTATTTAAGTATTTTTACCTCTACATGTCAGTAAACTGTGTATGTCTTCAGCTCTACTCTATTTTGCTTCTGTATCATGTGTCCAAAATCAGGGAAGTGTTCTGTAATGTAAGTCTTAATGTTTAAATGTTACACATACTTGTTTATCCTCTTCCTCTGCATGGCACTGCCTTAAATGTCAGAAGTTATTAATGTACTTAATTATAGATGTTCTGAAATACAGATTCCTTTTAAAGGTATTCTAATCAATCTGTTAAAATGGAAATAATTCTAAAATATGAAGGTAGAGTTTTGGTAGTTTTCCTTAATTCAAGGCTTTATTTTTATAATAGTAGATACCCTGACTTTTGACTTAATTATACAACCAAAAATGCAATGTTTTACTATTGATCAGTCTCCCTGGGAATAGATCCCTTCAGCAAGTGAGAGGCCTGAATTCTTTTGGGGTGAATATGCTGCAACTGCAGAACTCTAATCTTCTCTTTATTGTTGCTGCCAGAAACTCCAGATGAAAATGGCAAAACCCAGCGAGCTGACAGTCTTATTATGAAGAAGATAAAGAAAAAAAAGAAAAAGAAACACCGGGAAGATGTGAGGGGAAAACGCCTGAAGATGTACAACAAGGAAGTGCAGACGGTGTGTGCTGGGCTCACTCGCATTGACAAGGAGACTCTGTCTCAAGGACAGTGTGACAACCTGGAAATGAACAAGGAATCCTTCAGGTACCTGAAGGATGAGCAGCTGTGCAGACTGAACTTGGGCATGCAGGAATATCGGATACCCCAGGGAGTACAAACCCCGTTTGTGACACACCAGGAGCACTCTGTTCGCAGCAGCTTCCTGAAGACTGGCACTAAATTCAGTAACTTCATTCACGAGGAGCATCAGTCCAATGGAGGTGCCCTGGTCCTGCATGCTTACATGGATGAACTCTCATTTTTGTCTCCAGTGGAGATGGAGAGATTTGCAGAAGAGTTTCTTGCGTTGTCATTCAGTGAAAATGATAAAAATGCAGCTTACTATGCTTTAGCCATAGTGCACGGAGCAGCTGCTTATTTACCAGACTTCCTGGATTACTTTGCTTTTAACTTTCCAAACACTCCAGTGAAAATGGAAATTTTGGGCAAGAAGGATATTGAAACAACAACAATTTCAAATTTTCACTCTCAGGTAAGAAMTGTTTAAAAGCATAAAAGTTGCACACCACTTAGATTTGATTAATCTCATTAACCCAGAGCAGGGATGGTTTGAAATAGTTGAGTTACAAAT